ACTGACTGCTATTCAATCTATAACAGTAAAAAAAGTTTTTTGTTTTTAAATCCAAGCTATTGTGACACCAGATGTAATTGGTGGCACTGACTGGGGAAATGGGCACAGTATGCACTGTGAGCCTGACACAGAAGCTGGCAGCAGTGGCAGACAACTGACTGCTATTCAATCTATAACAGTGAAAAAAGTTTTTTGTTTTTAAATCCAAGCTATTGTGACACCAGATGTAATTGGTGGCACTGACTGGGGAAATGGGCACAGTATGCACTGTGAGCCTGACACAGAAGCTGGCAGCAGTGGCAGACAACTGACTGCTATTCAATCTATAACAGTGAAAAAAGTTTTTTGTTTTTAAATCCAAGCTATTGTGACACCAGATGTAATTGGTGGCACTGACTGGGGAAATGGGCACTGTGAGCCTGACACAGAAGCTGGCAGCAGTGGCAGACAACTAAGTGCATTTACATTACATAGAAAAAAAAATCCAAAAAAAGCATACCCTTATCCCTAACCTAGCTATGCTTTTCCCTATCTTATGAACAGCAGCTACACTTTCCCTCCTCTTACTAAGCATGCAGCTTGAGAATGAATCTAAAATGGATGCTGTCCAGTAGGTGGGAGGGTCTGCTAGGGAGGCTGTGCTGCTAATTGGCTGGAATGTGTCTGCTGACTGTGAGGTACAGGGTCAAAGTTTACTCAATGATGACGAATAGGGGGCGGGTCGAACCGCGCATATGTTCGCCCGCCGTGGCGAACGCGAACATGCTATGTTCGCCAGGAACCGTTCGCCGGCGAACCGTTCGGTACATCACTAATCACCATTCTCCTACTGATTAAATGTAGGATGATGTGTACTGAGCTGTCTATTGACCAAGGAGACAGGCAGCTAACAGGACTTGGTCTGAATTCTATAGACTAAAAAAGTTGTTTTCTGGTATAAACTTATAGCAGTTAACAGTATCAGTATGGTTGTAATCATATTATTTAGATGAATGGAGCTGCAGCTGCAGACTAAATACATCTTCCATAAACCTCTGTGGGAAAAAAATGTATGGGATAAAAAAAAAAAAAAGCAAAGATAATTTAGAATGAGAGGCTCCCAATTGGTGCATCCACTTCATGATCTGAGAGGACTCTGCTTGCTTGTGTTTTTACCTCCTTCATTGTATGCATTATGCTTTAACAACATATGCAATGCTGGTCTACATATCTGGATCCATGTATACAGAATAGATCTTTGTGTTTTTTAACCCAGTCGTCGAGACACACAAACAGTCCAAGAGTTATGCATTTCCACTGTTCAGTTCCGATGTGGATATTGACAGTATTTGAAGCATCAATTTGCCTTAAAGGGACACTCCACTGCCCAAATACAAAAATTAAAAATCACTGTTAAGTGATATACCGCCAATGAAAACATGCATCCATTTTATGTATTTTTTCATTTGTGGTATATCCAAAAATATATTGTAAAAGCTGCAGCTTTCTTTGACAGCCTTCACAAGCCTTGTAACCCCGCCCAGACTCTCTGTGAATGTCCAATCACAGACTTCCCAATGCAACTCAAGGAGAAATATTTCCACGGCAGGTGCTCTGGGCAATTGCTGCCTCTTGAGTTTAGCTCCACTGAGCTAAACAAACCAGAATGTAACAGGTTAGGTTGTCAAACATTCAGCAGGTGGAACCAGGTTAAATTGTTCCAATTTCTATTGGAATCTGCACTGGACGTCAGGTGGATTTAACCCTGTAATGCAAACGTTGCAGTTTGCAAAAGTGTTTTACATCGCAGAATTAAATGGGTACAACTTCTTTAAGATGGAGTCATTTGGGTGACTTTTGCGTCCCTTTAGCACAATACTAGTTATGAAGAAAATACAAAAAAAACCTTGCTCATAATGATGACAAAACTAGTGCAAAAAAAAAATTTCAAATAGATTCACTTATTAGTCCTGATTGTGAAAATGCCTCATATTTTTAAATTAGTTTTTGGAAGCTACAGGACAAATTATGGCAAGATGTGACTTTTTATGGCAGTTATAAACTAATTTGTATTATTTGTAGTCTGCTATTGCCGCTGGGTACGCAATACCCAATATTTGGACATGCATCTTTACTTGCTGTCCACATACTCTATCTGTGTCACCGTACTGGACAAGTTCATATTGCACTGTGGCCCCAAGGTATCAGCTGTCAATCATGCCATAAGGTCGCTGTAACAGGCTGAAATAAAGATTTTTGTGACTGCTTGAGCTTGAATAGCATGGCAGTCACATGTACGGTTGTTCCAACGATTGCATGCCTTATGGGACATCCATATAGCTATTTCTGTGAAGTGGCAATATCATGAGCATTTAAACAAAGTCCGTATGTGGTAGGGAGCCCCTCACTAACTATATTAATGGCCGCGCCATACAACATATGGACCACGTTGTGAAGTGGTTAATACATTTTAAAATTATATATTTTTTCCTAATTTATATATTTTAGTGTAGCAATGTGGAAAAGGTTTATTTCCTAAATTGAAACTGTAAGCACTATAATGACTTCATCTCATTGAGTTGATTATAGTGCCTGGAGTCCCCTGTCACCATACTTCAATTATTTTATTTTAATGTTTTAATGCTAAACAAGAGTCACCAGCAGTTCACCTCCTTTGTGCTGCGTGAGTCAACGAGGAAGCATTAGCTTGAGCAGCAATACAAACTAACATCATTCCTGTGACAGGTTGAGGGTCAGCTCCCTGCTTTCAGCCTACTACTGGTATTGGTATGGCTAGAAGGAAATGTGTATTCTCTGCCTTAGCCATACCTCCAGCTAGGCCTAGCCTGTGAGTGGCCAGGGAAATGTATTTAGTGTTAAACTGCTTACTAATAAATGAAGGACCAGTGTCAGGGGACTCCAGGAACCATAACCAATTTAAAGTGATGGAATGCTTATAGTGCCTTCAGTGTCCCTTTAACAAAAAAAAGTTTTTCCACATTGCTAGACTAAGATATAAAAATATACCATAAATATATAATTGTGAATTAAATATGTGGTGTTCCGTTACACTGACAGAACATTTTCCCTCCAATTAAATATGATTGTTATCACCTCACTCTGCCTGTGTCAGGAACGAAGAGTTTGTTGACACTGAATATATACGAATAAAAGTTTTTAACATTTGAGCATACTGTGGCTTAATCTAATCACACAACTTTTTTTCCAATTTCAAACTGGATTCCACTTTTCTGCTATTTCATCTTTGTCCCAAATATAAAATATTTCACACCGGCTGCTTCAGTGTGGAATAAAAACTGTCAAGAATAATATTATACGGGTTTCTGATACTATCCATTCTGACACATATATTTCAATCATTTTGTGACAGTAATATCAGCACATCTGAGGATTTTCAACTTGACAGAGAAAAAGATATCTAGGAGAATAACGTTAGTAATTTTCAAAGTGCAGCTGACAAATACCCTGGCAGAGTTATTTACTAGACTGAGAATTTAAAGTGAATTTAAAATTTAAAGGGGCACACCAATGCACAAATACAAAAACATAATTCACTAGTAGATAATGCCCCAATGGAATGTGCATGCATTAAATTATGCATTTTTTTGTCATTTGGGGTATTTAAAAAAAATAGCATACAAAAGCTGCAGTTCTCTTGTATGTAACTATTGCAAGCCCTCCCCTTCTAACACCGCCCAGACTTTCTGTGGCTGTCCAATCACAGACTCCCCAGTACAGCTCAGTGAGAAGTCTTTGCAAGGCAGGTGCTCTGAGCAATTACTGCCTCTTAAGTTTAACAAACCATGGAGCAACATGACCTGTTGTCTGACTGACAGCCAGTGGTGTAACAAGGTTCATTTATCGACATGACAATTTCTACTGGAATCTGAACTTTTTGTAAAGCAAATGTTTTAGGAGTCTGGAGTGTTCCTCTAAGACCAACATAGTTGACTTTGAAGAACAGCTGACTTGGAGAATATTTCTAGTTTAGCCATTTTACTGTTTCATATTTTTATTTATTCATGCATCCAGAATGGCAATGATGATCAACGAACAAATGTCAATGATCGAATTTCAGTCAGTGTTCCATTCAGTCATTAGTTCATTTAGCGATCGTTTTCATCTGAAATGACAAAAATTTACATTTTGTTAAGTTTTCTATATACCTGAAAATGAATGCACATGTCTAATGTCCATATTAAAATGGTGCATGGTTATTCACAAAAGTGTGAATTGTCAGGAATTTGAAGTCAATTCAAAGTAAATGTCATATTATCAGGCATAGGCAACCTTCGGCACTGCAGATGTTTTGGACTACACCTCCCATGATGCTTTGCCAGCATTATGTGTGTAAGAGCATTATGGGGGACGTAGTCCACAACATCTGGGGTGCCGAAGGTTGCCTATCCCTGTACTAGATGAATTGAAAACATAGCTGGCTTGTAGAATTTTTTTCCAGTTTAGCTATATTTTCTCTCTATGGAGTGAACACATGTTCGCTACGACTTCAGTCACAAAGTGTAGCTGGATCTTGTTCCTGTGGAAGCGGGTAATATCAGGATTTATTTTAATGGGCATGTCGCAAAACCCCTTCTTGGCTCCTCCAGTTTTTGGGGGGTTTTTTGTTCAAAATTATGTTAGTTTGCAAAATTATATATAAGG